AACAACATTATGAACTGTTCACTTTAAGGATGATTATTGATAAAGTAGATGGGTGAAGTTTTGTTTTCTAAATCATGACGTTTTTTAAAAATTACCTTTCTGTGGTCGTGGAATATCAGGGAAAAATTCAAACAATGCTACAAATTGTAGTAAAATTTTAGTACAACGTTTCAGTCAAGTAACCTTAATCAGGCATCAGTAAAATTCGAAATCTATAGCAGTGTGCCAGATTCATCACTTTTCTTAGATCAATGAATCAAATCTTGAAAATCTAATGGAAATTTTTAGATATTTTACTAAAATCTTCAGTTCTAAAAATTAGATTTAAGACCAATTATAAATGAAAATATATTTCTTTTCAACATTTCTTTGTGAAATTGATATGTCAAATAATAAAACTAACTTGAAATTTTAAAACAAATCCCAAATCAAATAATTAAATAATAAAAATAAAAATAAATCTCTTCATATAAACAAACTAATGCTTCGGCTGTGCTTTTTCCATTTAAAAACAGAGGCAGCCACTGCATTTTAATCACGATCCAAACAAAGATGCTAAATACATTTTATTTAGATTGCAATTAGATTGTATAACTGAGAAATTTGAAGCAAAAACAGAATGGTCTGATTTTAGCTTTGTGAATGAGACGCAAATGTCACTCTCTGACAGCAGGTGGCGCTTATAGAACAGCAGGTATTTATAGGCTGCTGCCCCTTTAAGACCGAATGCATGGATCCAATATAATGATGCGCTTGAGATTTCTTTCTCCTCTGTTTACGTTTACTTAAGACATAACCGACTGTGTTTACGGGAGTACTTGCCGAGACAGTTATTTTGAGATAATTTTGTGTGTATGTGTTCATTCAGATGCAAGGATACGTGAAAGAGGAATCAATTCTGTGTTCTGAAATCAAATAATTAAATAATAAAAATAAAAATAAATCTCTTCATATAAACAAACTAATGCTTCGGCTGTGCTTTTTCCATTTAAAAACAGAGGCAGCCACTGCATTTTAATCACGATCCAAACAAAGATGCTAAATACATTTTATTTAGATTGCAATTAGATTGTATAACTGAGAAATTTGAAGCAAAAACAGAATGGTCTGATTTTAGCTTTGTGAATGAGACGCAAATGTCACTCTCTGACAGCAGGTGGCGCTTATAGAGCAGCAGGTATTTATAGGCTGCTGCCCCTTTAAGACCGAATGCATGGATCCAATATAATGATGCGCTTGAGATTTCTTTCTCCTCTGTTTACGTTTACTTAAGACATAACCGACTGTGTTTACGGGAGTACTTGCCGAGACAGTTATTTTGAGATAATTTTGTGTGTATGTGTTCATTCAGATGCAAGGATACGTGAAAGAGGAATCAATTCTGTGTTCTGCTTCGTTTTTTACAAAGTCCCTCCTTCCGAACACCGCAAGCACTCGTCGGAAATGTAACGCCCCTTACCATAATCGCGAGCTTCATCTTTCAAAATAAATGTAAAGACAGAGCCCGAAAGGGGAACAGAGTCGCGTGACAGACACAGTGATGAAGCTGGTATGTGTTTGCAGTACACAAGCCACGGTTAAGACCGCTGACTCCACTGTGATGTGACCCCCCTCTCTCTCTCTCTCTCTCACACA